CCCAAGTTTAGGATTCCTTTGAAGGATCGTATCGGTGCCCTACCCGAGAATCGAGGAAAAGCGCTTGTTAAGGAAAGCTGGAGATCGTTAAAGGAGCTTCGAGCCAACATCCGGACTGGGGGTCGTATGCAACCTCCTAACAAATTGATTTCTGCAACGGCCCGCTTGGCGGTGCGTGCAGAAAACCAGGAGCCCGTTAAGGTTTCACCCTCACAAATGTGTGATTCCAAACGTGTGACTCCCAACAAGGCAATGTTTACTCAGAGGAAAACACGTCAGACAGACGAACGAGTTATACCTGAGAATCTATGTAAACAGCCGATAGGTTACTCCGACCGCAACGTCGATGAGTTGTACTATCAGGCTGGGGGTACGAATAAATCTCAAAAGAGAAGTACCCGGGAAGCGGACTCTCACTGTCCGTGTATCAAAATTATCAGGGCAGTATTATCAACGTGTAGCTGCCCCAAGACCGCTCCGCAGAGGGTCTCGATATTCGAGAGAATCTCCGATGGAACGACGAAGCCCAAATCAAAGCGTTCTCACCAAAGAGGATCGGTTGCTCGCGATGATGAATTTTCAGAAGTTACCATCAACATAGTCAATAAGGGAAAATCTCCGATTGTTTCAAGTGGTTCCAACCCTAATTTCTCTCCAGGAAGAAGAGTCGGTTCGGGAATAACCCAACTTATTCCGCACTCGCCTCCGACGATACAACGTCTAGCATAGGACAAGCTCGGGAAGTGTTCATGGTCAACACCGAGCAAATAGCCAAAATCATTGAGGATGCTCTAGCCAAGCAGAAAGAAGCATTCAAAATCGAAATGGAAATGGCTATGCAGGAGATTAGACAAATGCACGACCAACAAATCCGAGCTTTGTCAAATCAGCTAGTTGAATCCAGCCGTCGCACCCAGAACGCCGCAGTTGACAGCGATCCGGAAGTGGACGAAATCATCATGGCCGACGCACCGCCCAAAAATACTGGGGGTGGCCCTACTACAGATAACGACGCTGGGGGTGGACCCACCAATGATGATAACACTGGGGGTGGCCGTATTATTCCTCTCGAAAATTGTCCAAAACAGGATATAGATGAGGCCGAAAAGATGAAGGATCTCAAAAGAAAAATTGACGCCCTGATGTCTGCTCGAGAGGTGAAGAAGACCGGTATTCCGTGTCCTTACCCGAAAGAGTGGGATTCGATCCCGTATCCGGCGAAATTCAACCTGATCAACTTCACGCCGTTCGACAGGAAAGGTTCCCCCACTCAGCACCTGATCTATTTCAAGTCCCATTTGGGAGTGATCTCTGGCAACGAGCCTCTGATGGTCCGGTCATTTGTTGGCACCCTTCGCGGGCCCGCCTTCGATTGGTACCGCCGCCTCAAGCCCGGAAGCATCAACAGCTGGGAGGGCCTGGAGAGCATGTTCCTCGCTCGTTTCTTCGATGATAACACCGAAGTGTCGGTCAGGACACTCTTCGATGAGAAACAAAAAGACGGAGAGTCGGTGGATACCTTCATCAAACGCTTTCGCAATCAGGCAATGAACTGCAAGGATCCCGTCACGGAGGAATTTGTCTTGCAAACCTGTCATAATAATTTGTCCATTAACATCTTGGATGTTATGGGAGTAGAGCCGCTCAATACCTGAAAAGAGTTGAAGGTGCGCGGAGAACAGGCCGAACGCTTCCTCAGAAGGAGGAAGGTCGAAAGAAACCAACCAATGGTTAACCCTCTGAATTCGAGTCTCGTGTCCCATGATGAAGGGAAGGCACCTACAACAGTTGTTGACGTTAATCAAACGTCACAACACCAGCTCCGAAGACAGCAAAATAGTTTGGATCCGAGGTTCCAAAAAGAGTACTCATTCAAGGATGAAGACGTTCCAGCCATCTTCGAGACCCTTCTTGAAAACAACAAGATCAAGCTGCCACCCATCACAAATCAGGAGGAAGCTGACAATACTGCAGATCCGAAGTACTGCGCGTACCACAGGAGGATCCTTCATCCCACCAAGGCTTGCTTTACTTTAAAGAATAGCATCCAAACCTTGGTTGAAGCCGGCGTCATAACGCTAGGATAAGCCAAATAAGAACGGCAATACTCCGAAGAGTATACGAGTATAAACTGCTTAAGAGGTTAAACTGCTTCTTGATACTCCAATAGGTATATGAGTCTAAACTGTTTCCTACCGTTGACGGGAAGTTCCTGGAGAATTTTTATATGTAATATTCTTAAGGATAACCCGATCATGTAACCGAATGCAATGATAAACCCAGTTTCGCGAAGAAACTGGGGGTGGATGATTCATGTAACGGGAAGTTCCCGGAAAAATACTATATGTAATTCTCTTAGGGATAACCCGATCATTACAAACAAAGTGATAAACACTAAACCCCACTGTGATTTGTATGAGTCAACACTCTCGATGTGATTTGTACTCCTACTCTCACTGTCTACCTGGTCAAACCTTCTTATAGTTAGGGCCACAACTAAAGTCCCCTCTCGATTCCTTCCATGAACGAGAGGTCCACTTTCAATTCGAGTGATCAAACCTTCCTACAGTTAGGGTCATCTCAAACTCCTGCTTGGTCAAACCTTCCTACAGTTAGGACCAAAACCAAAATCCCCTCTCGATTCCTCCATTGAATGAGAGGTCCACCTTCAAATCGAGTGATCAAACCTTCCTACAGTTAGGGTCATCTCAAACTCCTGCTTGGTCAAACCTTCCTACAGTTAGGACCAAAACCAAAATCCCCTCTCGATTCCTCCAATGAACGAGAGGTCCACTTTCAAATCGAGTGATCAAACATTCCTACAGTTAGGGTCATCTCAAACCCCCGTTTGGTCAAACATTCCTACAGTTAGGACCAAAACCAAAATCCCCTCTCGATTCCTCCAATGAACGAGAGGTCCACAAATCGAGCGATCAAACCTTCCTACAGTTAGGATCATCTCAAACCTCCCAATTGGTCAAACCTTCCTACAGTTAGGACCACAACCATTTATGTATGGGGAATTTTATCCCGAAGCCTAAGCAGGGATAAGCCAACGCCTAACACGCGTTGCCGGTTTAGTCTTTTACCGATTAAAAAAGACACCAGAATCCAGTCTGGGGTATTTTATCCCGAATCCTAAGTAGGGATAAGTCAGCGCTTAACCTGCGTTGCTGGGTGGTTCGTTCCCGTAAAAACGACCGAGTCTACGTATTCAGCATCATAGCAACAAAAATCCATGCCTTTTATGCATGGGGAATTTTATCCCGAAGCCTAAGTAGGGATAAGTCAACGCGTTGTGACAAAAAGTCAAAGTTCGACGCTCAAAACCCTAGGGTCAACGCCGGTCAACGCGTAACCCTAGGTCAACGCCAGTCAACGCGTTGCGACCAAAAAGTCAAAGTTCGACGCTCGAAACCCTAGGGTCAACGCCGGTCAACGCGTAACCCTAGGTCAACGCCAGTCAACGCGCTGCGACCAAAAAGTTAAAGTTCGACGCTCGAAACCCTAGGGTCAGCGCCGGTCAACGCGTAACCCTAGGTCAACGCCAGTCAACGCGTTGCGACAAAAAGTCAACATACGGTGATCTGAAACCCTAAGTCAACACAATGTGACGGAGGTAGTTCAAAGTCAACTCAATGACACGAGCCAAACTCAATTCATCAGTTATAGACTCGAGACTCCGACGACGGCCAAGCGATAAACGCAGCGCCGGAAGAACTTCGGTTATTCGTCAAAGCATCGAATAAATCAAAAATCGAAGGAGCCAAGAGTTGAAGCTAACTACAGGTCCTTTATGCCGACTGAAGGCTAGACCAATCACATCCAAAGTATTCCAGCCTCTTCTATAAAAGAAACGAGTCCGGAACACTTTGGAGGGGGTATCTGTAGGCATCGAAAATCGCCTATAGGTCTCTACGAACAGCTCAGTGTTAAGGAATGACGGTGAACGTCACTATCCGGTTCACAGGAGTTCGACTGACGTCGATGAACGATTGAAGTGAACCGACGAACTACGTGAGCTGACAGAATTTCGGGATAACGAAGGCACGGGCTAATCGAGAGCCCCGCGATGTTTAAAAAAAGAACAACCCCCTTCGTGTCTCGTTCATTCTACAGATAATCCAACCATTGGAGCTGATAGAACTCTTCGTCAGACTTCCAACGCACTTCGAATCACTAAAATCCGAGTTCGGACGAAGAATTTACAGCGGAAGCGGACGAATGCACCTCAACGGAGTGTCTCGGCCAATGTGAGACACCCCAGGGGTGTCTCGAATTTTGTGAAGACACCCCAGGGGTGTCTCGGATTTTCCAGGACACCCCAGGGGTGTCTCGGATTTTCCGAGACACCCAGGGGTGTCTCGGATTTTGTGAGACACCCCAGGGGTGTCCCGGATTTTGAGAGACACCCTCCAAGGCAGATTTAGGCCTTTAGCCCATTTTAACCGCTCCGCAACCCCTCAAGCCTATAAATACAAGCCTTAGGCCTCATTTTTTTAGATATGGAATTCTCGTGCCTCGGCGAAGCCCTGCCGGATTGAAGACTTAAAGTGCACAGATTTCAAGAGAGGAGGAGGAGAGATCGGATCTAGTTCTTCAACGCAAGAGAGTTCTTCGTCAGATCTACATCACCCGCACCCAATCCTTAGTATTATCCCATTGTGGTAATACTAAGAAGAGCAAATATCTCGCTTTTATCGAGATAGGCGCTACAGTTTTCTCGATCCCTTCGCGGATAGACGAAGCTCTGCCCAATTTTTTAGCAATCAGATCTGATCGACGGTGGTCCACGGATAAACTCCGGCATAGGCAAAGACACCCACGCAAGCAGAAGACCGATAAACGATCTCTGCGTTTGTTTGATAAAGTTGTAAACTTTTTTTTATTTTCATTGTGTAAGGAGATCTTATAAAAAGATCGACTTTTTATTTCATTCGAGTTTATTGTAACGACTAAAGTTGTAATAGATTCGATAACAATGGAAATAGTAAATTTCTCTATTTAAACGCGAGCACGCGACGCAGGGTCTCATCTCCGCTGGCTCCGTTTTGATCGAGATTTTTTTTCTTTTTTCCCTTCACCTTCTCAACGCGATGGCCGAGACAGTTGTGCTCAAGGTTGGCATGTCCTGTCAAGGATGTGTTGGTGCCGTCAAGAGAGTCCTCACCAAAATGGAAGGTGTGGAGACATTTGACGTGAACATTGATGAACAAAAGGTAACAGTGAAAGGTAATGTAACACCAGATGCTGTTCTACAAACTGTTTCAAAGACGGGGAAGAAAACCTCCTTCTGTGAGGCAGAACCAGAGACCAAAGAAGCTCCCGCTGCTCCCACTGCTGCTCCCACTGTGGTCGCCAGTTTGTTTGCGGAGAAAGTTGCTATTTCCATTGTTATCGAATCTATTACAACTTTAGTCGTTACAATAAACTCGAATGAAATAAAAAGTCGATCTTTTTATAAGATCTCCTTACACAATGAAAATAAAAAAAAGTTTATAACTTTATCAAACAAACGCAGAGATCGTTTATCGGTCTTCTGCTTGCGTGGGTGTCTTTGCCTGTGCCGGGGTTTATCCGTGGACCACCGTCGATCAGATCTGATTGCTGAAAAATTGGGCAGAGCTTCGTCTATCCGCGAAGGGATCGAGAAAACTGTAGCGCCTATCTCGATAAAAGCGAGATATTTGCTCTTCTTAGTATTACCACAACGGGATAATACTAAGGATTGGGTGTGGGTGATGTATATCTGACGAAGAACTCTCTTGCGTTGAAGAACTAGATCCGATCTCTCCTCCTCCTCTCTTGAAATCTGTGCACTTTAAGTCTTCAATCCGGCAGGGCTTCGCCGAGGCACGAGAATTCCAGATCTAAAAAAATGAGGCCTAAGGCTTGTATTTATAGGCTTGAGGGGTTGCGGAGCGGTTAAAACGGGCTAAAGGCCCAAATCTGCCTTGGAGGGTGTCTCACAAAATCCGAGACACCCCTGGGGTGTCTACAAAATTCGAGGACACCCCTGGGTGTCTCAATTGGCCGAGACACTCCGTTGAGGTGCATTCGGCCGCTTCCGCTGTAAATTCTTTCGTCCAAACTCGGATTTTAGTGATTTCAAGTGCGTTGGAAGTCTGACGAAGAGTTCTATCAGCTCCAATGTTGGATTATCTGTTAGAATATGAACGAGACAGAAGGGGCGTTGTTTGTTTGTAACATCGCGGGGCTCTCGATAGCGCCGTGCCTTCGTTATCCCGAAATTCTGTCAGCTCACGTAGTTCGTCGATTCACTTCAATCGTTCATCGACGTCAATCGAACTCCTGTGAACCGGATAGTGACGTTCACCGTCATTCCTTAACACTGAGCTGTTCGTAGAGACCTATAAGCGATTTTCGATGCCTACAACCAACACCTTCCACATGCATATTAGGGAGTGTACTATCACATTACAGGATGTAACCGTCATACTTGGGCTCCGCATCGATGGACCGGCAGTTACGGGCACCGATGACCATAAATTGGGCTGAGGTATGTGCTAGGCTTCTTGGTCAGGTACCCGACTTGAGTAGTGGTGCGATGAATCCATCGTGGCTTCATCAGACATTTTAGGAAGATATACCAGCAGATGCCGCCATTGAGACACTTCAATATCATGCTCGTGCGTACATATTTCACATGATAGGGTGCATGCTATTTCCTGATGCGAGCAAGACTCTTGTACATGCACGATGGCTGTCACTACTAGAGGATTTTGGTATATGCGGCGCACTATCATGGGGCAGTGTGGTGTTGGCATACTTTTATAGGGAATTGGGTAGGGTATCCTTGATGCAGAATAAAGAATTCAAGGGATGCTGCACATTGATACAGATTTGGTCATGGGAGCGTATTCATATTGGACGACCTACTTTGCTTGTGCATTATGACCTACAGGGCCAGTTTCCTTTGGCATATAAGTATAATTATCCACACAATTTTATTCATATTAAATTTGTACTCATATATTCTTTATGCCAAATAGGTATAACGTGCGGTACGCTAAGTATAAATTAGCAATGTGACATCGTGAGTTTTACCGCAATGAGCTTAATGGCCTCCAACACGAACATGTAAATATAAATCTTAAGTCGTTATGAATATTATAGTTTTGTTTGTTGATACTGATAAATGTTTTATCTTATTTCAGTTCAAGTGGAGACCCTATTCACCACCGGAGCTCGATATGCATACTCTTGCACCTATTTGTCGAGATAGTTCTGACTTGTGGAGAGCCAGAGTTCCATTGATATGTTAGGAGATTGTGGAGATGCATGTCTCTGACCGTGTGCTATGGAAATTTCTGCTCTCTCAGCATGTGTCGGATCCTGTCGAGCAGATTGATCGTAGGCGACGACCTACATCGCATCATACGGACTGGTTCGTACTTCGGGCGGCCTACATAGACAGGTAGATTCACAGGTGGGATTTCATACAGGATACAAGAGACATAACTGTTGACTATACCGTGTATATGCGTTGGTATTGGGATGTCACATGTAGATGGATCACGCGTGACCCACAACTATCAGCTGGACACCTACCACGCCCACTAACAAATAGTCACATCCCTAGTGGGATGATCGAGAGAGATTATGTAAGTTTCTAAACTAAATTAAAACAGTAATTTTTTATTAATATGTTATCTGCTAAATTGTGTATATATTGTTTAACACGCAAGTCCGTGCTTTTGATAACATTGAAGCTGAGATTGATGAGCACATGCCTGAGATTTAGGATCCAGCGGCGTTAGGGGTCTTTAACAGGATCAAGCAAATAATAGCACGTGTTTCATAAGACTCATGTCGACGAGTTTGCAGGCCGTGAGGATAGGTCACGATCATTTAGGCAAATGTACAAGTGACGACGTAGGCCACGTGACGATGACGATGGAGCCGACACTTCACATGTTGATGGAGCCAGTACTTCTCAGCCTCATACACAACTAGATACTCAGATAATTGAGGCTCATCAGCAGAAACGCAAGGGGTAAGGAAGAGCGAGGGGAAGGGGGAAGAGAGGGAGGAAAAGGAGAGGAGGAATTTTGGGTTGTGTGTGATCTTATTTTGTTGAAATTTGTAACTTTTATGATTTTTTAAATACTATACTTTTGTGGATCAATTATTGTTTATATATGTGATCTCCGTGAGTATTGTTTGATTCGTGTTTAATTCATGGTTGAATTTTAAGAATATTATTATAATTCAGTGTACATGAGATCGATTATTGTTCACATGTGTATTTTTGTGATTATTGTTTGATTCAGTATATACTGTTTGATTCATGTAAATCGATTGATTACGTTATATGTGTATTCATGGCGAAAATTTGATGTATATTTTGGGTTGTATGTGTAGCTTTTGTGATTACGTTGCGTATATAAAAAACATGCACAACAGGTTATGCATGTTTTTTAAAACCTGCAGCTTCACGGGACTTCCGTGAAGTTGCAGTTCTCATTTTCCAGAGCCGCGATTCTCTGGAAATGAGCTAAAACAACTTCACGGGACTTGAAGTCCTGTGAAGTTTTTTTAAACTTTCAAACTTCCTGAGACTTGGACTTCAAGTCCCGTGAAGTTTAGCAGCTTAAGAAAATAGCTGTTAAACTTCACGGAACTTGAAGTCCCGTGAAGTTTTTTCACAAAAAACCGACCTGGTTTCAGCGCTGAGGCTGAAACCAGGTCGGTTTTTAAAAATAAAGGTCAAATGGGTCGGTTTTTGGGATTAAATGTTCAAATATGACGTTTTTGAAAATTTGTCCGTTGATGTAAAGAATGAATCTCTATCATCTAAATACTATACAGAAACTATAGTTGCGCGCATAGAGCATAGCTACAACAAAACAAATATATAGCAATACAAATGTGAGAGTTTTTCCCCTGGCAAACCAAACAACATACAGAGCATTCAAGAGCTACAAAATCAAGTATGAGCGTAAATTAGGTACTGAGTATAATATACGGAGATATGATAAGTGTTAAATTAAGAATAAATTTCAATCACTCACTAAATAATCAATGATTAATATAAAAAACAGTGATCCAACAAAAAATTAGTCCCCCTTGATTCTCATACAAGATCTTTAAGTTAGTTGGAGTAGCGTACATCTTGTTACACAAATCTGATGTGATGATCCTGGAAGTGAACTGTCGTCGAATGAAATTGATCTCATAACATATGTTCATGTTGATGTGGGCAAACCGTAGCATTTGATGTGCAACGGACCGAACCAGGCCCACACAAGGAGTGTTGATCTCCTTGTAATCCAACACAAAATGAAATCACATTAGCAAAAAAAAATAAAAATAAATAAATAAATAAATAAATAAATAAATTCACATTAAATCTTTCATTGTTTGAAATTGGTCCCTCATATCATTAACATCGCTATTAAGTCCCCCGCTTCTCATTAGTTATCTCAAATTTATCCCACTTAGCTGTTTTCGCTCATAAATTTGGGGACTATTCAAACCAAACGAGCTCACCCAGCTAATAATACCGGGTTATTTGGCTAGTCCATTGAAATTGGTGTATTTTATGCTATTTTTGTTTGTTATTTGTGATGTTTTGGTTGTTGAGTCCATATTCCATAGTGATTTTTAAAATTTTACAATCCAGACTCAAGAAGAGAATCGAACTGATTAAAATTGTACGGCTCCAATAGTTTGATCTGCTTAGACCAAAGTTTGCTCGGTTCTTTACATGTATAATGAATACCACAGCTAATCGCATTAGTAGTTTAGAGTGAACAATATTCTCAGGTTTAAATTTTTTTTATTTGAAGTAAAAAACAGAGCGAGAAGCTCTATTCATGTATATATTAAACGAAATCAGAAAGAGAATTTATAAACATTACAAAATACGGAAAGTGCAAAATCAAAAGAAGATTTTGTCGGTTGGGAGCGGACCTTGTCGTCACCAACCAGGCAAAATCTGCCCTATTTCCACCCGTCCATTTGAGAAATACCAGGAAAGCCAAAAAATGAAACGAGAGAAGAAACAAAAACAGGAGCTAGCCAGGAGGAGTAGAGGGGTTGGCCAGAATGAAAATCCAATCTAAGTTAGTTACAATAACAGTTCCAAAAGAGCAAAATAGAGGCTGCAGTGCAGTCTTCACCAGATCCGATCAAAAACACCATCAACATAACTAATTAAACTAACCTCTAAGAAACCAAGAGCAAAAGCTGCGCGGAGAATGAAGGAAATAAAAGAAACCAAGAGCAAAAGCTGCGCGGAGAATGAAGGAAATAAAAACTGCAATTGAATCACCAGCTAACAAAGTTGTCGCCTAAAACATCTCCACCCGCTGATTTAGCAATTTCCTGCATACCAAGATCAAATAGGTTTAATTTATTTTAAAAATCCTTTATACAAAATTTTAATAGAATGATAAAATTTGAATTGGTTGATAAATGTTATTAAGATGGAAAAATATCTTACCATATGAAACAATGTTGACCGAAATAGAAGACATGTATTCATGTACATGTCCAAATGAAAATCTCTCGACTTGTCGCTGAGTGACAATTAGTTGTAGCATTTTGGATCCCAAAACTGAATTAAACGGTCCCAGCTATGAGTTTCAATACGTCATTGTAACTTCCTGCAAAGCTTTTGGCTCCTTATTCCCACTGCCCATCCAATATTCGAGATGCAAAAAAATAAAAAATAAAAAAAAAATCCAAATTTCCTATAGTTCGATCAAGTTAAAAGGTAAATTTCACAAAAACCCAAATATATTTTCCTGTATATCCCAAGAAAGTTTTGTCAGAAAATCCCAAAACTGATACGGTTAGTTCAGATATACGCAGACAACATGTGCTATCAGATGAAGACCAAAATATCCCTACTTTTAATAAGACCCTCCATGATCTCTCTTTCATATTTTCACCCTATAATGAACTATCCCTCCTCTTTCTCCTCATCTCTTCTCGTGTCCACTCCCAGTTGTGTTATTTTATGTAATTGTCGTCATGGAGGCTAAGTGAAATATTAAAAAAAGGAGGATATTCTGGATTTGCTATTACAAGCTTATGTAACGTATAACTGTGTTGTAGAGAGTATGCAAGCGGTCGACGAATTAATCGCTTAAATTTTGAAATTTGAGCCGTGAAGTTTATGGTCGCACCCTGATGCAGCAACATTAGTGAAGAAAACATACCACGCAAGTGAAAAATGTTAGTTGGAGAGTGAAGAAAAATAATGAATGCTAAAATTGCAGCGAGTGGATAAATATATATATATATTTATAGTGAAGAAAACATACCACGCAATTTTGGGGTGAACCCGTTGTGTTTTGACCATTCGTTGAGCCGTGCAAAAAGTTCTATTCATTCGAAACCGTTAAAATTGCAGCGAGTGGATAAAGGGTCAAAACACAATGGGTTCACCCCAAAATTGGTGTGTTTGGGTTTAAGAACGTGTAGATCAAGTTTAATGGCGCGGATCGTAAAAAAAAATTAGGAAATAATATGATTCTAGGCTGCATCCTTAGGTAGGAGCCTAGGGTGTCACCTTAGATTCACTTTTCCCTATATATATATATATATATATATATATATA